ATATGTATTAGTCACGTGAGTCTGATAAGCGGAATCTGCTAAGCCTTCCAGTTGAAGCCTGCAGAGATAAGTCACGTGACCAAATATCGCTATCGGCAGCAAGTACCCGGGGTTCAGGGTAAGTGAGGCGAAACGGTTCTCATTGGTTGTGCTTCCAGTCGTCCCGTCCGTCCAAGACGGGGTGAGGACGACGAAGGACGAGACTGTCTCGTCCTTGGACGGGACGGACTGCCTTGGTGCCGTCCTGGACGGGGTGGACGGCCGTCGACTATGGACACGCAAAGTTGCGCAATGGGACAAATACTAGTACCTAAACAAGTTAAGAAATAAAAATAAAAAATAAACATAAAAAAGAGCTGGCGCTTGAGCATCCTACCAGGGGTAGTAGTGGGACTGGACGACTGGAAGCACTGGTTCCTGGGGCCCCCGGGTCACTCGACCAACGAGATCGCAGGATGTTTCGGGTACATTTTGAGTTCGGCTCGCTTTTTTCCCCCTCCAAGAGAACGCCGAGATTGGCTGTTTCCATGGTTACACTCGCCAAACCTTGGTCGGGTAAAATCCAGCCAAGTACCAACTTCGCCTCGCTTACCTACGGTATGCTCACCCCTTAAGTACCGTACCGTACTTTATCGAACTGCGCTGCGCTATCCTCGTACCGTACATACCGGTACTCGAGTACTACGTCACAGGTGCCATTCGCGCCCTTAATCGCCCGTAAGCTATAATTACTTTGCCAGGATGCCACGTTGGCGGTTGCAAAGTCCCGGTCCAACCGTATCCCAGGATAACCCTATGGGATCATACGGTTCGCATAAGCAACCGCGGGGTTTCTAGGCGAGGCTAAGCCCTCGAAGCCCCAGCCATTGCGGTCAACTCACCCTTCGGGCTCTGGGCCTCAATTAAATAATACACCTAAGGCGTTCTCCATAAGATCTCATGGTAGACGGTCTGGAAGCTTTTCGAGGTGCACTGCACAACCTGCTCGCTTACCTTGTTAGGGGTTCGAGATGGCAGTTACAACTCAAGGGTGCTGTACTCGGATAAGCGGAGGAAGAGTATCGATTTTCTTGCCCCCAACACTGATCATAACCAGAGCCATGTCATATATCGTGGTTCCATCGTACAAGCATCCTAGTTGGTCATTAGACCTAGCGCGATATCTGCGGGCCCTCTTCCGGTTGACACACGATAAACAGTCGCCTATTATACTCGTGTCGGGGAGGGTCAACCCTTCAGTTCTGCGTCAAGAGATAAATGCCTAAACTAGCGAGACTCACTATCCCTTACTGCATGGGTAGGTGCACTGGTTGACCCGCCCATTATGTGCGCGCAACAATATTTGCACTTCACTGACGTTGGACCAAGGGGTCACATCCCGGCCCAACAAGGCGGGCTTTGGCAATGCAGCGCAGTCATCATGGTCAGAGTGCCAGTAGCAGAAAAATTTGCTTGTATCCTATCCATCATCGCAGACCTCCGGGGACTGACTAGAAATGGATCTCCTCCTTAAACACGAGATTCAGACCCGGCATACATGGCAATTTCTTGTACGAGTACCGGTACCGGTACTGGCACTTTGGTTGCCGCCGGGAAACATCTACGGGACCTTTCTAGCCTCGAAGACTTTGCGAACGGGGCTGGATGAGACCCGTCTGGCATAATCTAGCCCTATTTAAGCTAGACTCTTTCACAACATGATCTGCGACAGGGGTAAGAATGACTAATTGACCAAGGTCCGGCGGAACTCTAATTTTGGCGAACATCGGATTTTCCATGTTTCCCCCTTAGAGGACTAAGGGGGCGTTCACCAGCTTCATCTACTCTATACTTTCTGACGCGTATACTATGGCACGTATTCCCCGGGTCCGGAGTGTTGCCGCTGTTTGCGACAGATACCGGTATGCTTCGCGACACCCAAAATGTGTACCAGGCTGAAAAGAAAAGAAAAAAGGCGTTACGTGGCTGTGCTAGTTTGAATGCCAAGAGTTGAGAAAAGTAGGATCCCAGGTTTGGGGCTTGAATGATAAAAATAAAATAAAAACTCCCAATATATGGTAGTATAATTTAAACAGGTTAGTATATTATTTAAGCATTAAATTCTAAACCTGAATATTACAAACGATAGGTTTCGTGGGGATGGTCCCAGAACTTCAGTATGATAAATTGGAGGAAATCGCCCTTAATATTGTAATGGCTTAGCATATGAACTGTGGCTGGTGTAACATCTTTTCCCCTTTTACACCAAAAGCCCAACGTTTTAAAAGCGACTGTCATACAAGTGCCAGGGATAACGTTTTCGCACAGTTAATTTAGGTTAACCCGCAAAATAATCCCTGTCCTGTACGAAAACATCTCCCCTGGCACTTGTTAAGGAGATTTATTCAGAACTCCTATTGCCAAAAGAAAAAAAAGACCCCCGTTTCTGATTTATCATAATTCGCCCTTCCTAAAATAGGGGTTTTCTCTCTTTGGCAATGAACAATGTGGGTCTAGAGCGTCTGGAATCTAAAAATAAGTGAATTCACGGTGCACGTTTTGGACGTAACAAATCATATACGGCACCGGTAGTCTAGTAGGTCCTGACGCTCCAAACCCATACTGGCCTACACCGTGAATAAGTCTCCATAATCACACAGGCAACACGCAGCCGAGCGCACCGCTGCCGCTGCTGCTCGCAATGCGGGACCGGTCCGGCCTGCCAAATGGCAGAGAGTCGAGGATGGGATGGAGAAAAAAAACTACCGGTATCATACGGCACACGAGGACAGTAGGTAATACGGTAGTGAGCGGGGTGAGGTGAGAGGGATTGAGGGATGAGATTCTCTCAAGTGCTGAAAGTTATGCTTTAGTCCACGGTACTGTACCGTGCTCCTCCCACCTTTTACCACGTGGGGATAGATGCCGAGACGAGATCGAGCTGAATCTGGGTTTAGACGAAGCGGAGGAGGGGGGGCTGTCCAGACCACACGACCGTAATCCCGATCCCGAATAGAGTGTTTCCGAGTGTTTTTCTCAATTAGTCTAGGGTTCATGCAGGAACGAGCTGGTCGATCTCTGGGAGCCGCATGCCTCACGACATCTTCCCCATTTTCTTTTTTTTCTTTCTTCTTTCTTCTCCTTACCGCCCGGCCGTTGGAGGATATGGCGCAGGAACGGCGTGGCATCCTCTCCGCGCAATTGGTCGGTTTTCCACATTCCATCGGCAAGGGGGAAGTGAGTGCGGAGAGGGTGAGGTTCCCGGTGATATTTATTACAAGAATATTACGGCCAACCGAGTAACAATACGTGGCTTGCAAAATCGGGGTACGGTAGGGGGTTAGGGAATTTTGGCATTGAGGGTGTAGAGCGTGATTGCTTTCCAGCTATCTCATTCAGATGTTACAGTACAGTACTCTATTACAGTACAGTACTCGTAGAGTCTGCCTCAGCAGAGTGATGATGCAGTGATAGGAACCATGCTTGAACCCCACCAATCGTACCGCCCTTTAAGCTAGTCGATAGTGCTGACTCCCCGGCATGCGGAGAAATAAGCTTTCAGCCCACCAGGAAAAAAAAGAGTCCAACGGCGGCGGCGGTGGAAAGGGGCCCCGCCGCGTCCGGAATTCAGATGGCGCATCCAGATCCAGGCACAATGCCGATACAATCACAAGTACCCACTCCCAGCCCTACCGTGGACGTTACCGAAGTGGAGAAGAGTAGCGAGTTCGGAGTCCGGGGGAAGGAGCTGGATGGCTGGTGCCGGGGCATAGTGTCGATGGTGGCTGTGCCCATTGAAGCTTATCTACCTCCGCCTCGCGACCAGTACCAAGATCTTACCGTCGGAAGGTGTTCTTCTCCTTACACATTTTTTGCCTTTCGCTTAAGAAACGAGATGCTGAGGATTAGGTTTTGTAATGGGGCTAGATCTAGGCGTGGAACGGTCGAGCGAGGGGGGGAGAAACGAAACTGGAGGTTTTATATGCTTCGGCCTCGCCCATTATCTCGAGTTCCGTATCCCCCGGCGCTCCCTTCAGTACGATACTCTACTAAGCGATATTAGTCTACCGGTAATACTGAATCATCGAGGGCATCGTCATCCTCATCAAGTATTTTTTCTTCCGCGTATCGCACATTCTTCGGGCTTCACCGTCTAGTTGAACCTCCTCCGGTATTTCATAAAGAAGGCTTCGCAAACTCTATCTCAAACTCTATCCATCAAGCTTACAACACATCTCACGAATGCGGTCACGATAGCGCGCCTCCATACAATCAAAGGGCACCTACCGTATGAAGAGACACAACATCCACTCACCAGACATACGTGCATCATTTTTCTGGTTATCAATCCCAGAAAGCGGTACTCTGCAGTCCTTACCGGGCTAACATCTCGACTTCGATAGGCGCTATATCCGGATAACTATATTTCAATATTTCCCTGTTTCCTCCCCCCCTTTCAGTAATCACAAAACTCGAGGGAATTCGGTTTAGGTCGTGCGAGCGCGGATCGTGGTGTTTTGGGAAGGTTTTTTCGGTCGTCAATACTCCCCCAGCACTTTGCACGAAAAAAAGACACGAATTGACGCCCTGACTGATAAAGCGGGAAGCGAGCCGGCGCAATCGATCGTGGCTTCTTTTCTGGAACGGAAAATCGAGAAGGAAAAAGGAAAGGGAAAAAAAGGATAGAAGAAGAAAAAAAACAAATATCACATCCAGTCTAGCGAATAGGAAAATAGCCTGAGAAAAAAAATAGGGGAAGCGGGAGAAAAAGAAAAAAAAGAATCGAAGGAAGGGGAGAGAGACAGAGAGAAGAAAGGAGAAACGCCAGTTCGGGTTGTCAGTTCCTGAAATAGGTTCGTGGGAACGGCGCGCCTTGCAGTCAGTGAGATAGTGCAAGAGCGCTGTACCAGGGGGGAGCGGTGTGTGAGAGAAATCGTGGTCGTTCAGAGTTGAGATCGGTAAGATTGGCTGGGCGTTTCTCTTTTCCGTCATTTGTGGCCCCCGAGGTTTTTGGCTTTATTATGACCAGTCTCCACCGCTTTTCATCAGCTCCTTCAACCGCAACGGCCAAGAGCACCGGTGTTCGGGCGGGCAATTGCAAGAGCACTGCTGCCCCTTCAGCGAATTTACTGCCATCTACCGCGGCGGATTCCACCGTGGCTCCTACCGCTGCATTGGGCACTTCTGCTCCAGCCACAGCTCCATCGGGTGGTGGAGCGGATTACGGTCTTATATCTCCCGGCAGCCTCTTCGCACCGTGGGTGGAACTTGGTGCAACACCCACAGGCTCGCTCAACCCATTCTTCGAGCCACCGCAGAGTCCCGTTTCTCATCCTCATCATCCTCCTCCTTCCCACCCCTCATACCGCCCCTCTCATCCCACCCACGGTATCTGCGATCCCCCCTCGGCAAGTAGTCGTTCACCCGCGGCTTCCGGCGCAAAGTGCCCCCCTCCTCCGAGAAGCCTTCCACCATCTCACAAGATTCTGCCATCGTCATCCCCGAACTCCGCGGGTAAAGTCAAGTCAAATAAACGACCAGCCAGCAGTATCGTTTCTCAATCCTCGTCCTTGCGCCCGCCTCCGGCTATTCGGTTATCAGAGAGGGAGACCCCGAGCAAGAGTGGTGGAGGTGGCGGCACAGGACCAGTGAAGAGGGAAATCCCCGTAGAAGGCGACACCGCAGACGACACGATGAGCGTGCACAGTCAGGGAAACAACCACGACGATAAACCAGCCTCGAGGATTGCCGCGAGCGCGCTCTTTCCTGAAATCCCCAGGATCCTGCCACACGAGAAGGTATGAGAACCCTGATATCACCACCACATTCTACCCTGCCCTGTCCCGCGCTACCGGCGCGATGAGTAGGAAAAAAATTCGTCACGTGCTTTGAGGCTGATAGCGATCCATAACGAAACAGGTATTTCCAATCCAAATTGGTGGCGAATTGTTTCGATTGAGGTTTGTTGCCTTCTTTCCGGAGTGCTTTGCGCTGGTTCATTGAGGCTGATTATGGTTTTAGCGGCGCATCGATATCCTCAGATGGTCAGTATACGAATGAAACTCCCTTCAATATTGTGCGCAGTTAGGATAGAAGACTGAGAGTGCTAGAGCTCCCTCATACTTTTCGCAATTCTTCGAGCAGCAGTTGGAGAACCTGGAAGAGGGCCAGAGCGTGAGAACACTCTACATCGATCGGGATCCGGTCACGTTTAGGGATATTGCTAGGCATTTACAAGGTACCTGTAGTGGAACTGCAATTGGGGGAATGGAGATATTAACGTTGTGCAGGCTATCATGTTTCTCCCAGAGACGGGCAACATTTTGTACAGCTGTTCGCTGATGCGCAATTCTATAGCCGTAGGTTGTCTTCAGAGTTTGCGGAGGATGAAAGCTGATTGGAGTAGTTCCAAAGTTGATCTCGCAACTCTTCGAGTCGGAGATCTTCATCTCGATCGGATCAAGGCCTTTCCAGATCAATCGTGAACTATTTCAGTCCCCCGGAAATAGCCCGAATTATTTTTCACTCGGGTTTGCGGTCTTCTTTTCATCGCCGAATGAAGTCTTCCCCGGGTTGAGTCGAGAGGGGCTCCTGCGACCGCCCTCGATATTACCGCCTGAGGTCCCGACCCGTTCGGGCGAGGTCTTTGCCGAGCTTCTCCACTTGCTACGCGGTTATCCGGTTCACATACGGAATGAAGAGCACCGACAAGAGCTCCTGCGCGATTGCAAATATTTCCACCTAAAGGGGTTGGAACAAAAGTTAATTCCGCATGAGATATCGTGGAATCAGAAGCGACAAAAACAGGAGATGGTCATCAGATTGGAGGATATCAAGCCGTCTGGAATTTCCTTCGTCCCCGACCCGGTAACCCCTGATCAGTTGCCGCCGCGCGGTACTTCAGGCTGGATCAACTACTCCCGGCCATTCGTCGATGATACACAGAGAGAGCTCATCCTAGAAATAGGAGGTGAGCAGACAAGGGTGGACTGGAAACTCGGGAGAGCGGAGTTTTCCGGAACTACGAACCAGCGCGTCACAGCACTCTTACAGGTGATTGCCAATAAACTGGGATTGCCGGTAGGACATGAAAGAGCACTCGGTCTGGTCCTGATGAAGAATAGTATGAATGGAAGCGCCAGCGGGTCAACCCCTGGTCCAGCAAGCCCGGGAAACACTCCACTCAGCGAGGATAGAGTGAAGATCAAAATCGGCTCTGATTGCTTCGTGCAGCTGGATGGAGAGGAGTGGCAAGGATGGGATCGAGAAGGTGTCAATTCGGCAGATGGACACGACCTGGAAGGTGCGGCTGTTGATGACGCCTATGGTATGGGTAGCCGGCCCGGCCCCGGAAGCGATGCGGGAAGGAGCGCTGCGGGCGGAAGTCCAAATCTGCCATGGCAGCAACACTCCGGGGTGAGTAGCCGGCCCCCATCAACAAAACCCCAAGGTGCATTCCTGGGCGCGCATCCCCGGAAGCGCCAGAAGCGCGTGGCGGGGATCGAGGACTCCTCCGAGTGGCTTGTGAAGCGGGGGCAGTGGCGACTGAGGGTGCAAATGACGCCTGGAGTAGACGGTCGAGATAGGCCAGAGGTCATCCTGGTAGGTGTCAAGCTGGATTCTTTTAGCGGGGAATACGGAAGGAATGGGCAGAGGAAATTCTTGGTCTGAAATGGGTCCGACTTTTTCTTTTCTTTTTCGTATCCAATTTCCTTTTCTTCCTCTTCTCCGCCTTCTCTCCTTCTGCGATGGGTTTTCGGGCTTTTCTTCAATCCTTCATTCATTGCCTTTTTATTCTCCACGGAGCGTTTGCTCGTTTTCTCTCTTTGTGGATGTCTTTCCTTCTTCTATATATATTTCTCTACGAACCTACTCACCGTCCTGCCAGCTCATTGCAAGATTACCCGGAAAGGTGGATATTTGGCTACTGGTGGGCACTTTTTAGTAGGCTGCCCCGTCTATGTCTGCCAAATTCCACATTTCCGGATACCTTTTTAGAATGGGCAGGTAGTATAGTAGCTTATCATCTAAGTTTCCATTTTACCGCTTCCCCCTCCTCCTCCTCCTCCATCTCTGGCTCGCGCTCTCCCCCTCTCTCCAAACATAACCGTGACAATCAAAGACCCACGCGCTTCCTCACCTTCTTGTAACCATTTCCCCCGAATTTAGCCTTATTTCCTCTTTTGAGTTTCCTGATACATCTACCTTTCATCATCATAACTTCAAGACGGGATACGGAGTATGGGTGTGGGACTTTTTGTCTTTTTTATATATATCCTTTTCTCTACCGTTTTGTTTCGTCGCGTCTTCGTCCTGTCGTTCATTCCGTGATAGCAAGTCGGAGTTCGAGTTGGGTGTATCGTATGTACAGTACAGTACTTGCTATCCGTCACGTTTGCGTCAGGTCTGGGTGAAAACGGTACAGGGCTCCGCGTGCTCCGTGATTGGGCCACTCCCTGCTCTCCTTTACGGTAACCCGACCAAGTCGCACAAGCACCGGGTATCAATCGTTTGCGAATGGTACCCTACGCACCCGCGGACAGCATTGGGCGAGTGACCGGCGCATCGTGGTGACCGGGGCAGCACGAGCAGTGCTAGAGTAGGAAGGAGGGAATGGAGAATGGTTTAGCAATGTTCGGTTCCTGCGTTGCACCCATAAGTACTGTACTGCAAGGCACTCGAGTAGAGGAGGGAGGAGTGGCGCAAGGCAAAGGAACACCGGTACTGGTACTGTGCTATCGCGGTCCACGACTGGTTTGAGATTCACGATATACAGGTAAAGTACTGGCGGTGCGCACCGCATCCATAAATACTTGCGGGTCCGAACACTCAAGCCTCTCTCCCCCATAGAAGCAAGCAATCACCGGTGTCCCACCCCAAGAACTCCCCACCCCTCCTCATTCTCTCCCACTCAATTCAACATGCCGGTACCGGCATTACCTGTATGATACGGTACTTGTAACTCGGCGGGAACTGTACGAGTACAAGCACAGTACGGAACGGTATCTTCCACCCCTACCGAACGAAGGTCATCCCATCCCATCCCAACCCAGCCCAGCCCAAGCGCCGCTTGCAAAAATGCTTGACCCCCATTCATCCATCATGCGTTTTGCCGTATTTCTTTTTTCTCTCTTTTTATTTTTTCCTGTGACACGGTACGCCCTACCTCTTCATCTCCCAGCGCCGCTCTCCGAGCGGGGTCGGGTGCGAACGACGAAATAAATCTCCTTGCAGCAATTCCGGTACACGAGCAGTAGCATGTCTTAACCTTTTTGACATGTCTGGGTGGATAAGTTTCGAATATCATTATCCTCCCCTCTTTACTCGTACACTCTTCCCCACTTTTGTTTTTTCCTTCTCTCTTTCGGGAAGAGGGGCTTGTTCCTCCTGCCCGGCTTATAAATCAATGATGAGTCGAGGCGTCGATTGCGGGTACGAGTACTGTGCTCGAGTACGCATTGGGTGATTAGTATGCGGTGGATGGATGGATGGCCGGGCAAGGCTGGGGGGGAGGGGGAGGTCCCGATGCATAGTGAGTGGTCGATTGAGTGAAGTTTGGATTACAAACCGGCACTTGGGGGGGGGGGGGGGTTTCTCTTCGATGGAGTACTGGTGGTGCTGTGCTTTAAAGGTACAGTACAGTGCCCGTACAAGTAGATGCACCAGTATACGAGTGCCAATACGGTATCATAGTCCCGTATCATAACCTTTGATTGGCTTTTTGCTTCCCACCGCATGGTAGGAATGGATCAGACATGTGTTATTGTACAGTACCGTGCACGCTGTGGACATTGGTGATTTCTATTAGTATTTGATTCCCCTTTCCTTCTTTCTCACCTCTCCCCTCCTCTCTCTCTCTCTTTGGCTTGTGCTTTTGGTACAGTTATCCTCTCCTAGTCTACCTTGCTCTTGCTCGTGTTGAACTGAACGGTGAGGGGATAGAGTGGCCTTGGTTCGTTTCGGTTCTTTCGACCTAGTGCATTCTGATATTTCCCGTTTTCCCTCTCCCTTCATTTTTTTCTTTTCCTCTAGTCCAGACCCGGCCCACCCATTGCTCTAGAATTTTCTTTCCTTCTTATCGTGCAATTCTATTTTGTCTTCTCATTTGTCTCTCTCTCTTATCCTCCTCCTCCTCCTCCTCCTCCTCCTCCATCTCCTCCTCCGTCTTCTCCTCCATCTCCTCCTCCTGCTCTGCAATCCCACATTTCTTTAACTTACCGCTGTTCCCACCTGATTTGGGGGAACCAGAGTTTGTTTTGGAAACGTTGTGAGTGCGCAATTGCTTGGTAATCCACGCCCAAAGCCCGAAACATGGCCCCAAGAGGGTCTACGTCATCCAATCACATTCCACCCGGGGACGTCAAGTGCACAGACACGGTAATAGTAGGTGAGAACCTTCCGCTCCCTTCCACTGCATAACTGACTTAACCGTTTTACCCACATAACCAAAGAAAGGGGGAGAAAACGTGACTGGGCTGAACTTAATTGACATTCCCTTTTTGCAAAAAAGGAAACGGACCTTCGGCTCTATTCCTGAGTTACCTACTTCACGGCAACATTCCCACCTACGATTCCGTCACCCATGGACCGCACCCCGACCCGGTGCTTCACGCAAAGCTCTCGCGATATGGGAACCGACCTCTCTTCGACGCAACCGGGTCCGCGAGGGCGTACGAGGCGCTGACGGAGCACTTCCATGCCGCCACCTACATGAGCTATTCGAATCAGGCCCTGCCGCTGAACGTTTTGCTGGACACGTTGGTGCGGCCGGGCGCTGATACGGAGGTCGGGGGGGCAGAGTCTCGGTTGAAGTGGAGTTTTGATGAGCGGAGGAGAATCGGACATGTTGTGTTGGGCTCGGCGAAGGAGGCTGGCGGGCAGTGGTCCGAGGATCCGACTAGCACTTCCTGGGATATTGAGACTCTGAGGTTGGCTTTCTCCTTCTCTTTTTCCCCGATCCGCGCTTTGTTTGGGATATGGGGGCTGATCTTGGGGGGTAAGCTATGCGGAGATGCTGTCGCTGCCGGGGTACTCCTTTCGGGAACATTATCGGAGGGAACACGGGAAAGTTATGTCCCATTTTAATAGGCCCACGAGACGAGAAGTAGCGAATTACTACAGCGCGTACCCTGGCGCCGTGGGGATAGCGTCGGAGGTCTTCTCGTCGGTATACGTGCACAGAATCAACCGTACGCAATCCGGCTTCTCGGTCAAGGTTTATAGAAAGCCCGCACCTTCGAGGCCGCAATGCGAGTACACGATCCACTGCAAGCACCTCGTCCTCGCGACCGGGATCTTCACAAACGTCGTACCCCCCCCACCCATCTTCCTGCCATTGCTCAACCCAGCGAACAACACCCTCAGCCAGCAGCAGCAGCGCGCCAAGCCACTTCCACTACTGGTTGTCGGCTCGGGCTTCACAGCAGCGGACGTGATCATCAGCACGCAACCGAACCAGAAAATAATCCACATCTTCAAATGGAACACCACCCGCCCATCACCATTGAAGGGCTGCCATCCCCAGGCGTATCCGGAATATGCATCCATATACCGCCGAATGAAGCAGTCTGCCGCAGACAGTACCTCCCCGACTTTGCCAACGGCCCCATCGAACTACGAGGGCTTTCCGAACGCACAAGTCATAGCGGTATCCGGCGATGGGCGCGCCATCAGGATATTGACGGCAGACGGCGACGTCCTAGAGCGCACCATCGGCACACTTAGGTACTGTGTCGGCCGGCGCGGGGGCCTGGAATACCTCTCTGCGGAGCTGCGGAAAGCCGTGGGCGTTCTGGACGCGGGGTGGGTATCCGCCGACACCCTGAGGAGACGGGTGGAAGCGGACCCAGAAATCACGAAGAACGTGTGGGTTGTCGGTAGTCTAACCGGTGATTCACTGGTTCGCTACGCGTTCGGAGGGTGTGTATACGCTGCTGGGGGGATAATGGCTGATCAAGAGATTCCACAAGATGAACTCGTTATGCAAGAGGCTACCGCCGCAGGCAGGCGGAGATCTGGGTGTGTGGTTTCTTGATGGGCATGATGGCGATGATGTTGAATGGGTTTTGTTGGGAGTTTTCGGAGCAGAAATTGGTTGGTGTCCTAGAGTTAGACGATTGGTTGGACTTTTATTATTAATTGCTATCCTGGCGCTCTGTTTGATACCGTACACTATAGCCATTTGCGCCAGAGCCGAGCGATTGGGAAAAACGAGGAATTGGGCATTAGTGCATAATTCTTGCTCGTTTGCTCGTCTATTCCCCGTTTTTTTGGGATTATTGTGTCTGCCGGGCCTTCACTTTTCCTTCTGCATTGTCTGGGAACAGATGTGAGTGTATGACCTTTTGCGTCTTTTTTCTTCCCGTTTGTTTTCTGTGTATATTCGAGAGCTATGCTATAGACTTTGTATAATTTATTTCTGCTTGCAGCCCTTGGGTTCTATCGGGTCTAGTGAAGGTACGGGAGTTGGGGAGAGGAGTGGTATTTTACGAGTGATGCTTTGTGACTGCGAAAGTGAGCTGGACAGAATGGAGTTCGCCGTGCCATAAGTGGCGTTTGTTCGTTCCGGGGGGGTTCAAGCACGATACAGGTTCGGTATAGTTAATATTAGAAGGATCTGTGTTCTTTATGGAGATAGCTGATGGCTGTTAATAGTCTTCCCTCTCCCGGCCATTGACCACTCCAGCTAGGCCTGAATACCTGCACCGCGCCCACCATGCTGGTCAAAGGAATTCGATATTTCGGTTCCATTGTACGTTGACTTGTATATCCTCTTACCCACTGGCCGTTCGGAAACGCTTCAGAGGTTGAAGTCACAAGTTTCATCGCATTTGAGCGCGCGCAGTGTTACCGGGCCGGATCCTGGATCAAGGATCGTTCGAGAGAAGAGGGCACATCAAATGAGGTTGCAGGGCAGAGAAGTTGCTCCACCCGAGTGAAATGTTTCCCTGCAAAGCGGGCAGCGCCTGACAGAACCCTGGAAACAGCCGTCGAAAGCCGGACGGCCCGCCAAAGACAGTTCCTAGACGGCCATGGCACTGCCAGCTGTGCCGAGCTCCAGCTGGTAAAAAAGAGGATTGCGGTTTAGATTTTTTTTTCTTTTTTTCAGGCTTCTAGGAGTTTAATCCGGAAGATGAACAAAGCTTTCCTCCCCTATTTCGGAAAGCCCGAATAGTCAGGGGTGGGGAAGGAATATCTAGCGTAGGGGTAAAATATCTTCTGTTTTGCCTATCAGTATGCGGGGTTGGAGTCATGATGCTGCCTTAGAGGTGCTTTCCCGATGACTGAGGACGGTGTATCATACCAAGAGGCCTTTCTTCACCATCCTTCCCCCCCCTCTATCCACCCTCCGTTGGGTGATTTCTGAATTACCACTACCCCTCTCCTTCCCCTCTTTATTTCTTTACCCATATATGCCTTCCTTTGCAGACTCTTTTCCCGTTATGGCAGCTAACACCCTTTGTCTAGAGGGGCTGGGTATCATTCAATTTACAATGCTAATATCTGTATATGATACAGGAAATCTAACATACCAAGACATCCCTAAACAGAAACTTCCATGGGGTGAGAAGCCCTGCCAAATATGACTACTAGCAAATGAACCCTATAACTCCTCCACACCGGTAGCTCCACCAAGTCATACCAGACTATTCTATCTAGTGTCTAGCAAACTAGGCCTCAGGAACTTGTCTGTCTTGATCTAGCTCGTGCGGAACACTGGGTAATGGCGATTCAAGTCGTGGCGCGTAGAGCTCCCCTCCCCCCGGCAATGAATCCCGTTTCGAAAACTCTGCGATATCACGCAGAAGCCCGTGTCAATGTCCTTGATACAGTGTCTCCCCATCACATTTTTATGGTCACTAGTGCTTGTTCGGACTATTAGTTCTCCGGCCGGTAGTCTACCAATGGCTGACCGTACGATGCCTCCTTCCCCCTTGCCTCTAAACCAACCCCCTCACTAAATACCCAATATCCCGATTAGGGGACTTTTTGATCTCTTCTTCATTTACAATACTCCGCTAGATCTCCCTCTTGAGCTCTTTCGATACCCTACCCCATTTAGCTTCTCCCAAATACCTTTGGAGTGACTCCGCTTGAGCTTCAGCTACTCACGTATGGCGCATAATGTCCGAGAAATCGACCCTCATGACTACCGGGTCCAACGACAAACGGGTCCTAACGACGTTTTGGGAGGAAAAAAAAAAATCTGTATAGAAACTGCACAATTTTGGCACCTGTTTAATAGCCGGTTTCTCCTCATATCTCCCCTCGGCCATGATCGGGAAGGGCAATCGTGAAGCAATTTTTTTTTTTTGTATTTTATCGGGTGATAAGTAGTTTGTGACTTAACCTCTGGCGGAAGAAACACCGATTATACAGTGTTATACAACAGTGTAGAAAACCAGTACGGTAGTTGCGTCATCTCAATTTAAACTCCACAAAATACGGACAATATTTCGGAATCAGGGGTTCGTACATAGGACAGCAAATCGAGTATGAATATATGGCACCAAAGGAAGTCAGTCAGAGGGCCGTAGCGATCAGGACTCATCTGACAAACCAGATTCTTATTTCTTCAAGAGCTCGTGCGGCCGAACTGGAGCTGGATACTCTCATATAGTAGTGATCACCGGACCAACAGATCAACTTCTCTAGGGGGCTAAGCTAGGTGATGCAATTCCACTAGTACCATATTATCATACAAAATCGGGTTTAGCATATCTATCTGGCAAGAGACGCACTGGGGGGCAGGTCGTCCCCAGTCAATGATTCATCAGGAGTGTGAAATGTTTAGTGAAAAGCTTCACAGACTGCGAAAGCCATTTGCATATTTTTATATACTATTGTATATGATGAGTGATTGTGTTGCCCTGCGTGAGCTTTTTATTGTGGTCTGGCGGTCGTCACTTGTGATATTATGAGGGTGTCCGGCTCCGATTCGGCCGTGTATTTCATTAGACTAGATTCTGTTGTGAGGCGGTTCCAATACCGGTGGGTGCCTTCCGTTACTTGCGTGCAAAGAAACCATCTATCCCAAGTGCTGGCAGTGCAGAGTACTGAATGTTTCATACAAATTGTGTATGTCTTAAGGCCCTTCTCTATAATCCATAGCTGTAATGTCTAAATGTAGTTCAATCATCCTTTGATATCTTGTCAACAAATGCCAGTTACTCTGCCAGTGTGTGGTACTTGATATATGAAGTTTAATACTCAGTACATTGTTGTTCCTTTCACTCAAGAGCTATTTTGGCAAGCTTTTTCCAGGAAAATACCCTCTGTTAAACCATCCTATGAATGGTAGAAGTATCAACAGGTGGATATTATGTACTGTAGCTTTCAAAGCTGGCAAAGAGCTTATCAGGTAGCTTATCATGAAAAGTGTCTGAGCAACCTTGAGGAATCTGTTGTAAATACTTTATTATTATTCTCGTACGTAGTATTTACTACCCAATCCTTTAATCACAGTACTAGTATGTATTTACATACATTCAATACTGCACAATTATACTTCCTAGGCCTTCCTATTCTTATTCTCTCCTCTTTATCTACTGTACAGTGCTCTGTATTAGAAAGTGCCACTACCTGCCTCACTATCCATTCCGACCAAAAAGAAAAAGAAAAAGATCCCGCTACCTCCTGCATTGATCGTCCTACCAAAACCTGCTGAACCGTAAGCCATTTCACATATTTCCTAATTCCGTGTTATGTGGATTCCTGGGGCACGATGCTGTTGTTGATAATACCGGGTCCAGGAAGGCGTATTGGGCATGCTGCTCTGACACATTTCTTCTTTTCTTCGCAAAGAGCTGGGGAGTGTCTTCACTTCTATATGGTGCTCACCTTTTGTCCCGGACTACTGGGTTCCATAGCATACCCCACTTTCACTATAGATTTATTTTCTCCTCCCTATCCTTTGCTCACTCTCAACAAAACTTTGGCAATGCGCTGTGAGTGAATGGCGGCATAACGAAAAAAAAAATCAAAAAGAACCCGCAGGAAACAACCAGCGGGAAGTAGCGAATACCCTAGCATATCAATTCCCCCCATCTAGTCCGTGGTTAGTTCGCGGTATACGGTATGATATAGATTAGAAACGATATCGGCTCCGTGGCAGAACCCCCCGGGACCCCGATCCCGCACTCCAGGGCGTCGCTTCCCGTCGCGTTTCAAAGTATACCACGATCAACCCGAAATTTTCGGAAGGGGCGGGAAATGAAGAAAAAGCCTGCATATCAGCACTGCATTGACATGAATTAGATACTCTGCTGGATTCCAGCGTTGTGATGCTGGTGCTGCGAGTCTCCACGAGGAAAATATGTGCCGCCGACAAACAATCCTCGACAAGTCAGACGGCAATGACTTGTCTATTCTATTCTCGTAGTCGGGGGAGTGGGGGAGGGGAGAGTAAGGGTGGGGATGCGCGTAGGGCGACCTGCCATCTTATTTCTGGCCCGTTTTCTCATACTGTGTTTCATGCTGCTCACGCCATTGACACCCCCTTGGGATTCGTCGGGATATGCGAGTGACGGGGTATGAAAGTGTATTGCAACAGCAAAGCACAAAGAAAAAAAATAAAAAATCCTTTGTGCCTCGAGTGTACCCTAGGAGTGCATTAAATCTGTAGGAACATACCAGAAATTCCAGTTTTCAGGTCTTGGAACTGGTGCCGATGCCAATCCTCGGGTGAGCCTATGAGCACCTAAATTTAGAAATAGGAGTGACGATGTAAGTTAGGAATTGCTTCCGTCGGAAGATAGTTTGGAGCTGTCCAGAAGGAAAGACAAAGGGGCAAGCCGGACATTAGAAACCCAGACCGTTTACTTTGAGCCTTGTCTCATGGTATAATACGCAACCCAAAGGCTTGGAACTTTTCTCAAGGGTGTACTACAGTGGGCCATGATAACTGGACCAGCTGAGAATCTAGCTTCGAATTACCAAGTATTGCTCTCCCCTCATTGTTGTGGGGAATGCCATTGCTATGGTAATAATTTCTCTCCCTGTCGGTCTTGCCTCCTGAACCCTCTGGTTTTCCAACTTTTATAGTCATCCTGTACGAGTAGTCGCAACGGTGGTTCTAAACCATTACTTTTCAAAATTTTATGGACACACCCGAGTATTCTGATATTGGAATTTTGCACCAACCTCAAGTGAAATACCGATACTGGTATTATAACTTACAATGGAGGTTTCACCTTGCCAGTACTGCCTGTCTGAATTTGAGCTGCGGGTATCCTGTCCACATCCAGCTGGGGCCTCTTCATGTACCAACGACAGTGAAAACTCAATCCCCTGATATCAATCCGAAATACATGATACCGGCAATAGACACCCCCGATTGTAGAAATTTTGTATCCTTGACTCGGGATTGGACCAGTTTTTATGATAGAAAAAATTAAATTGACATGAGACCATTAGCAAGAAGTGGAAGCTGATACAGCCAGTTAGAACCGTTATAGCGATAAATCCTTCAGGTGTCAACCAGGAATAAAGGATATTCCAGCAGTCAGTTATTGCCCTTGAGAAATCTCAAGTAGGAAAAAAGGTGTCTTTAACCAAAATATCCCCCTGATGAACCTGCCCGTCATTTCAACGAATATGATTTCCACATGAAGAAAGTAAACATGTGTGATACTCGTACTATAGTAACGATGGCTCGATAGGATGCAAACGGTCCTCTCTTCATATTTGTAGAGGCTCACGGATGAGCACCAATAAAAGTGGTTATGACTACATGCGGGAAACATGAGCATTGATTAGCAAAGCTCTCGTTGGTAGTAGAGATTGCTGACGGGATCGTATAAAAAAAACAATTCTCAACCCTCCAATTCCCGGAAAATCTCGACGGCGAAGCGGCCCAGACCAAGACATTTGTGAACCTCGAGTGGGAAAATTAAGCCTTCAGGAATTCTCAAAAAGACACATGGCGAGAGAAGGTGAAAAGCGCGAGTTACTCACCAATCACAAAACCCGAAACCTCAATTATCTGTCTTAGAAACCACACAAAGTTAAAGATAAAAATAAGAATTGTGGTTTTGAGTTGTGGCGCGCGCGTGGGAATGGATGTCAAAAACAGCGGTGAATTCACCCTTCTCAACCTCTCCGCGCGATACACCAATTCTTAATTCCGGAAAGTTCGTGCGTGTTGCTCACATCTGTTTACCCAACCAAAAGCACTGACAGTTGCCGTGCTGTAGCACTGCGCTGCACCGTACTTCACAAACCTATTGATGCCCAGGCTTCCATGAACACCCACCGCCATCCCGCCCGGGCCCCAAAACAGACATCCGGAAGACAGGGCCCAACACTGAGAGTGTCTTAAACACCGCCATGATGTTTCGGAGCACGTGCTACAGCCATAGCGGATTGCTCGTGGGCCGAGGCACGAACTCAATGTGCGCGGAGATTGAACACAGGATGCGGCGAGTGTCTTTGAGTACCGGTACAGCACCGGTATTCTATCTAGGGTAGCATTTGCTGTAAGCTAGGTCTCGGGTCTCGGATTGTTATGAGGCGTGAGGGAGCAATGATCCAGTAAATTAGTAGCACTTCCCGATTGGTAGGATCGGATAGTTGGTTAGGTAAACTGTTCTGCAGGAGCCGATCAGTTGGTAAGTGGATACGTGTACTTGTGCTTTCTTTGTAGACTTATGAAGAGGAATACCGGTATTGATAGAAACTGCTGTCCCCGTACCGGTACTTGATGCTCGAATTCGCGATTGGATGGACTTAACTTAGCTCCCGATAAATCGGCACCGGGGTGCCGTGGATACCTGGAACTCTCATTGGCGTACAATACTTGTAGGGAGCACTGTGCAGCGCAAAATTCCCGCCAAGGGTTCACTGTGAAACCACCAATGGTTACTTGAGTACCGCACCGGTTTTCGGTATACCCTCCACAACCGTTGGCCCGCTCCGATCCCCACTACCGAAGACGCATTATCACACCGCATCGGGTCCAAAACACGAGTGATCGACCGAGACACACATGCAGTACAATAACCACCGCCCACAACGGCAATCAAACCGAGCCATCGTCATTGCCAAGTCGCACCAGCCTGCGATAACCCCATCAGTGCCAACCTTTGAGCGCATGAGCAAGCCAAGCGACTAACCCACCGGTATCTTCCTATTCACACGTCGGAATAGCGTTACCGATACCTTATCATATCAGAGAACAGCACTTGTACTCCAATAAGAACATATCACAAACCCAGTCCCTTCGTATGTCCAGGTTTTTGTTTTCTCGGTTAAGGGACGCGCTTGGCCGGTAGAAACTAAGCTTCCAAGATCATCGGTCTTGTCCTTTGACAGTGGCCCGACCAATTCAAACAGGGAGGCAAACACTTTGTCCACAAGCAGTACCGTGCCGTATCACCTCATCAACCTGGGCAGCGCCTTAGTAAAATTTGGCCACCTCGGACCAGCTGAAATAGTGTTGATCGTACCATTGGTTAATAGGAGCCTGAGGTCTCTCAGCAGTAAATGCGGCCTTCCATTCCTCTTTCTGTACCGTACCGGGCTTTCTGAGGAGTTTTTGTTTCAAAACGGAGATTAGAGCCATGCACGGAAATGCACCAATCTGACGAGTTAATACGGTAGGAGATACAAGTGCCGCTGCCGCATCACTTACCGGTATGTGAATGCCTGAAAACGAACGAGGGGGTATAGTGAGGGACCTTTCGGAGCCGGAACAGTTCCACATTCATTCTGGCACAGCAACGGTATGTTAACCTGTCCAGCGTGGCCTCATTTGGGTTAATCCTCTTTGGAAATGTCGATTAACTGATGCTGTTAAGGAAATTAATAGTAATGAGTATTTCCAAACCCCTACCAGATGTTTGACCCACTTCTAACCCCCAACAGTTCCATAAAAATCCGAGATATACCTATCTTCTCTCTATCAACCTGCAGATGGTCCTCCCCTCTATCATCCGATAGAGCCATAATCCCTACCGGAGTAGTAATCGAAGATCCTTTAGCTGCTGAAGTTGAGCAATATCTCCTCGGCAAAGTACTCCGGTTACAAATGTCCCTCACCATACGAGCGATCATCCGAGACTGTTCAAATGCGTATCGCATCGTACGTGCGCGTGCCAAGCTCCTGCGGCACGGAGAGGAGCCAAGCACCGGCCTTAGTCGGGGAACGGCGTCTAAATGAGAGGAGTCTACGAGTACGATACGGCGCTCAGTGCTCGTGATAACAGACGGGTTGTTGCGGGGTAATTCAACCCCCTTGCACAGTTGGAACTCTGAACCCAGTCGAGCTATGCATGATGAGGCCATAGAGAATGGAAAAAGGACTCGAAAGCAACTTTTGTCATGTTTTATCACTCGTGGTTTATCAAAATTCACCCGGCCCTTGACATCCGGCTAGCGAAAGCGAAAATTGGACCCTATCCCGTGAGTGAGGTTATCATAAGTCACATCACCAATGATGCACGCAAGCTTGGGTATGCGAGGGTTGTCCGTGTAACCCCCTGGCGAGCGATGCTTCACTACCATATGAACGAAGGTCTCGCAGAAGGGTTTAGTGCCCGCGACTAGAGGTTCCTTGGAGAAAGGTTAGCAAGACGGGCCTGACTTCTCCTTACTCTCAAATCAAGTCGATCGTTTCCGAAAATCGTTAGACTGCCGTAGCGTGGTTTCTCCGGGGGGGTGTCCTTTTCCAAGTAGATCATCATCCGTGTAGCCAACAAGTACTCATGTACAGTCCAATCGCGGAACACCCAGATACACACCCCACCCAAGTACACAGTTCGGTAATGATTGGCCGAATGTTAGTAACCCTAGCCTACAAACCAGTCAACGGACACCGTGCATTTGGGTGTTCCGCGATCGTACTGCAAGGGGAATACAGAGAGGTGTTGGATAGTACAATCGAACCTCGCTGCCCTGGAATTCTATAATAAGTATACCTCGCTATCATATGTAATCCTGTGAATTCCAAAAAAAAAAATACATCAAAACTTGACCCGTTGTCCCGGATAGATTCTTCGGGTTTTGGTCGTCCGGGATGGTACCTTGCGACTGTAGAGTGCTCGTACAGTGGAAGGTCCTTCCATTTCCGGGGAAGTTGAACCAGGATGCCCCGTGTATCGTGTTAGATGTTTTCGAGTCCCATGGCGTTTTTCCATGTGTCATGGTCAATAGGGAGGTTCTGCCGCGTGTGTGAACGTGGACTTGAACTCTGCCTCGTGTTAGAAACGGACTGCCGTGGTGCGTGCATGGAGAAAAAGAGGTTCCCAGAGGTAGGGGAAATATTCTTGCGCCCGAACTTCAGCACATACGATAAACCTATCCCCACCCGGAATAATTGGTTGTCATCAGCCCGTGTGAAATCATCCTGAGCCAACCAGCCCATTTGTTTACATTGTCTACGTACTCAATTTCATGCTAATGCATGAACTACCGATATACTTGTTCACAGGAGCAACCAGGACCCCGGTCTGCGCTTGAATTAGGGATGTGAGAGACTGTTGTAGTTACAAGTTCAAGCTCACGTTCATGGCTCCCTACAGAACCCCCCCGATAAACTCGTCTATACTAAGGTCTGTTTGGATGACGACTGAGAGCTATTTCATGTGCAAACGAGCACATAAAACCTATTTATAATTAAGTTCCGTTCGGCGGTAGGGCCTCTCATTGATATATCACCAGATTACGGCGTGTGGAAGCGCTATTGCGTGTGATAATATGAGTGTTAAAACCACTGTTAACGAAATAACGAACCGGGGAATCGAGAAACCGGGGACTCCAAACACTTGGCTCCTTTCCGCAGTTTTATCATGTGAAGTTATGACTGTCGGGTAGGATGACATAAGCAAGGTTTCCCTTTTTTCCCCGGAGAACGCACTCTGTAGAGTATCGTACCCGTACAGGGCCTCTCCTTACAGCCCGGAAACCCCAGGATCGGGAACCACTCTCGAGTGAGCGCTTATGACCGGCCATCCATCTCCTGCAGCACATCCACTCGGAGGAACAACATCTAACGGGGGTATGTCAGCCGACTCAGCGCCTACACGGTTGGTCGTAGGGTTTTAGTGTGAATTTTTGATAGACTTACTGCGGCGATCCCCGAGCGGGTCGGAGGAAGGAAAGAAAAGAGGAAGGATTGGATGGGTGAATGGATGGAAGCATGGGGAAGGGAGGAAGACTTGACTTTTGGGGTGCGGTGTGTACTCTGCCGTGTTGAGCTGTACTAGTACTGTACTGTACTGTAGGTCTGAGCTGAGGATGGGCTGGTTGCGGGTTCTGTGACCTGGCATTGATGCATAGGATGGTTGCGTACGGGGTGAGTGAGTCCATCGACATGTTGTCTTTTTTTTTTTTGTTGTTATCACCGGAATTATTATTACTACTCTGGTATCGTGGGTTATAGTAGCGGGGTGGGATCTGGCGAGGTTGGGAATTGGAGAACGTAAGCAGCATCCTCACTCATCCGCCCATTACTCAGCAGGCCCCAAACCCCTACTCCCCAAAAATCCCATATACCGGTAAACAAAATTGCAAGGCTCAGACTATCCAGCACCGCGCCTCGATCCTTCCCTACTAAGAAACCTGCCCGACCCATCCAATCTCAGATGCAATATTACCCGTAGGACTCAGGAGATCCTCGCTGCCCACCCACCAAAAAGCGGGGCAAACCACCATTTCCTTATTCCGGCGATATTAAATAGTACATGTATGATACAAGCATCCCTGACGAGGAACCTGGACACTGGAGTCCGAATTTAGCATGAGAACTCATGTGAACACGGATAATCCACCATACAAATTTTTGATCCCTGTGTTTGGGTACCGTACTTTATGCAGAATGCTTGTGCAAGTGCCGGTATTAATTTGTTGAAAAAAAAAAGGCTTATATACGCCACCACCCATGCTCTTGTAGTACAAGTATGATACCGGCATCCGCAAGTGAGTTTCTTACGGCTCAACTTGTACAGTACCTGCATCAATACGGGTATGAGAAATAGATACTGTTCATGGTTTGCTCCACGGGCGCTAAAACCTGTGTAATGAGGGTGGGTGAGGAGAGCTTGAGTAAAAACAAGGGCAATCATCCACCTGTATATTCCTTCATCCACTAAAGTCTCTTTTTAATTCCGATTTGCTTTGTTCCCCTAGAGGATCAAAGGTCGAAGCTGGGGATATATGCAGAACTGAAAGGGGTGAAACAGGACCTTATCTGGAGGTACAAGGTAGAGTGCTGTACCGGCACTGCGCGCGGGCTGGTGGTATGAGCGAACGTGGGGAGAATGATACTTGTATCGTCTCTCATAATAGCAGGGAGAGGGGAGTTAGGGTGGTTAGGAGAGTTTGTGGGTTCTTACTCATACTTTAGTGTAACTTACCGGTATTGAGTTAACTTATCATATGGGATAGCTTTTTCTTTCCATTGAAGGAGGCTGAAGTAGAATGATCTGGGTATTGCGGAAGTAGCCAATCTGTTCCGATTCTTTGTGATTGTGGTATCATACCGTCATGTAGAATTGAGGCTCGTTGGAGCGCCAACGTGGGATTTTTTTTTTCCGTTTTGCTCTCCCTCGGACAGTCACCAGAGACACCTGTAGCTTCAGAGCGGTTATTGGCCCATAGTTTCAATTAGCTCGGGTGGAGGGGGAAAGAGCTGTGAGTGAATCTTGCCCCTCCCGTCGGTCCGATGCATAATAAAATTCTCTTTTACGGTGCCAGTCGCAGAAGAGGGAGATTCTCCACCCAACCCCAAGTTTTTCCTTTGACTTTTAACCTGCCCAATGGGGGTGTTTGCCTCGATACAGTAATTATTCAGTACGGCAACCGGCAGATCCAAGCACTGCAGGCGTACGAGGAGACATTGCTTGCACGAGCACAACAGAATTATGACCTGACAGACCCCCACAGAAACACCAATACCACGTATCTTCAGCGCAAGGTCGAGCCGGTACTCGTACAGAAGCGTCGCGGTAGTGCAACTAACCGTACGGAGCTCGGGACCGGGGAGCCATTAGCGGTGATCACTTGGCGTACGGGAATTCCAGTTGTAAGAGGTTGGCTAATGTCTCATTTGTAAGACGTCTGCGGCACCGTTCCCGACTTGGGGGATTGAACCTTTGCCTCGGGCAGTTGGCGTGCGTTTCGAAGATTCCGATTGCTGTGCCCTCTGCTCTGGTGCTGGTATGGGCTGGTGGGGTAATTAGCTATTATGAAAACGGAATGAATTATTTCCATGCGCTAGTTAACACGATCATTTCGCTGTGATCGTAGCCAGTCGGACGATGGCATGCACATTGTTTTTTGTGCAACGCGGGCACTGCGGGACATTTGGAGCATCTCTTTGGTGGATTAAACCGATTGAAGAAAATATGGATGAACACTTGTATTCCGCTTGAAGGCAATATAAACATTGCAAGCACTGGCACAGAAAGTAGCGCCAATTAGGGAGGTTGGAAATTCTCGATAACCCGGCAATGTACTGCACTGTACAGTACAGTACGTCTGTGCTTTTCAACCACGATAGATTTCCAAGCTGCCAACCGGGGTACAGTGCATCTTTCGGGTCACAATAAGTTCCAGCTCGAGAAAATAGACATTAAAAACCTCTCTTCCTGTGAATAAAGTGCACCGTGTACAACGCTAGTTGCATTGAGAACTCCGAACCTCCTTATTCTTGCATGAATTAGCGCTGTAATTATCGTGCTTTTGCTTTGGGGTCTTGCTGTGCGACGGTACCAAAAGGTGCAATATCTGGAAGCATACGGTACTCGAGTGGTCCAGTGGTGCATATCCGATCGCCAAGGCACGCATATGGGGGCACGGTAGAAGATCCTTCACGCACTGGTATCGGGATGCTGCGATGAGCACTGCAATGTCTTTGCAGGATAAAGTGAATACCCCACAGGCTCAGGATGGGCGGCACCAGTGTGCTCGTACCAACATCTGCCATGTCGGTTAAGCGCTACAGGTGAGAAATATGCCTGCAGCAGATTGATATCTGTGAGCAATTGCCTTTGAACTTGACTGAATCCGGATCGAAGGACTGTACAGTACTGTGTCATACTCGTACGGTGCTGAATTCGTTTATTAATGGCGGTTGAGTTAATTAGGATGTGGGAGTAACGGTGGCTCCTGGGGCCGGTGGGGGACGGTACTGTACAGTACTAGTACAGCGTGAGTTGTATGGCACGGTTCGAGGGTAAGTTAAGCTCTTGCGAGACGCCAAGAGGTTATTCTGGTTGGCTATGGTGGGTTGTCCCCGGAGCTGACTGGGGTAGGCGCAACGGGCCCGTGCTGTTTCGCTGAAATAGGGTGCTAATGGTCGTACCGGTAGAGGTCGATCAGAGCAAGGCATCTCCCCTATGGTACTTACAATCTTGGTATCGGATGCAAGGAAGCTACAAGTATCATGAGCAGGGCTCGACAAATTCTGATATTGGGGGTTTCTCACTTGTGGGGGTGAAACATTAAACTTGCTTTCACCAGCAGTCGGGGATCCCGTCTCCGTATCGGTACTCGAGTACTCGAGTACTGGGGGGAGGTGTATGATAGTACAGTACTTGTACAAGTATCATACCCGTCAGTACTCGTACTGGCTAGGGCTAGGTCAAAGCAATCACCCGTGTGCGTGGGAAATGTGGGCGGTGTTGGGTCTGTGCAACGCTCCGTGATGAAAGGAGGGAGAGCGGGACGGGAAAAAGAAAAAAAGGGGACATGGCATTTCACTGGGGGATTTGTCTTTCAGGAGGGGTTTCCCATCCCGGTTTGACAATACCCTATGTGAGAAAACCATTTGGAAAGGTCTTTGGAATATTCTACATGATGGGGTTTCTTCTTTTGCCTCACTGCGCCTGAGTTCGCTGCTTGTGTTTGATTCAAAAAAGAGGTATGCAGAGCCATCTAATTCTCCCTCCCCAACCATCGTCGTGATTGTTGAAACCCGGAACTGGCAAGGAACGGCGAAAGGGGTCTCCCACAACAAGCTTTTCGGGAACACTTCCGGATTCAGCTCAGCCGCACTTCGGCGCATTACCTGGATTGATCGATCGCCTCCGAGACATAGTCCCAGACAGTAGATCCTGAACCATGATGCTACCACTACTTAGCGCCTTAGCGGATCGACGGAAAGGTCGAGAGGCCTGTCTTGCAGGGCGAGCAGGAGGGAGGGAGGGAGGCCAGCTTTTCCTTATGTGTTCGCGAGTACAATACCCTTCCAGCCCTCTTTCCTGGAAAGAACCTCAGCACGGAAATTTCGCACTACAAATTTTATGCTGTGCTGGTCTGCTGTGTTTGTTGCTTCAAAGTGACCTCGCAACTTCCTCCCCGCCGCGTATCCATAGCGACCGCATCTTGGTTTTGGAGCCTCTACAGACTTCGAGTGGAGAATGGCAAGCGTGGATTCTGGAAGAACGGTCGAGATGCACTCGATGGAGTCACCCTCGGAGCACAGTGGGTCGCTTCCTTCCTCTCGACACGAGGGGCAGAAGGTTAAGGCCCTTGATTGGGAGGGACCCAACGATCCAGCAAATCCGTGGAACTGGCCCGCGTCGAAACGGTGGTATGGGACCGTTGTGCCCGGGTCTTTGTGTTTTCTTGTGTGAGTGGCTCCTTGATGTATGGCTTCTGCTGGAGGCGTGCTAAACCCATCTCCGAAGAACGTTCGCGTCTTCGGTTTATGTTCCAGGAGTTTATGAAGTAGCGGCAAAATTCGATGTCTCCATCACAGTAGCATTGTTGGGGATTTCGATGTATGTTGTCGGACTTGGGCTAGGGTGGGTTTGTCGAGGCAAATTGGTGCGGTATGCGTTGCCTGATACTAAGATTTCATAGGCCAATGTTTAGCGCCCCATTATCGGAGGTCTTTGGAAGGAAGATGGTGTATTTTGTCAACCTACCAATTTTTCTGCTTTTCACCATGGGCGCTGGCCTGGCGCAGAATATCCAGACGTTGGTGATTTGCAGGATGTTTTCCGGTATATTTGGGGGGCCTGCGGTTGCTGTCTCGGCTGGCTCTTTTGTTGACGTCTGGGATCTCAAATCGTCCGGGTCGGCCGTCTCCGTGCAAGCGATTGCCAGTTTTATGGGCCCCGCTCTAGGTACTGTCGGCAGTTTTTATCAACAGACGTTCATGCAAAATGTCTAACATTACTGTAGGTCCCATTGTCGGCGGATACTTGGCGGAAAACGAGGGTTGGAGATGGACCCTTTGGATCATCATAATTCTTGGAGGCGCATTGCTGGTCCCATTGTCCTTTATGGAGGAGTCCTACAAACCCGTCATCCTCAAACGCCGAGCACTTGCCCGTGGGGAGGAACTCCCACCTAAACCGGATCCAAAGGAAGCATTGAAACTTATCTTCACGATCACACTTGCTAGGCCGATAATGATGTTGTTGAAGGAACCGATTGTTCAGGCTGTTGCACTATATTCGGCTTTCGCTTTTGCCGTCCTTTTTGGATTCTTCGAGGCATATCCTGTTGCGTTCCAGAAGGAATACGGATTTGCTCTCGGCGAGACGGGGCTATGCTTTCTGGGAATTGCCGGCGGTCTCATAATTGGGTGCATAATCTATTTGATCCAGGATAGGCTCTGTTACGTCCCTGCTCTGAAGAAGCATAATGGATCGCCTCCAGCGGAGGTTAGGCTAGTCTCAGCTATGATTGGAAGCTTTCTGATGCCCATTGGCTTGTTCTGGTTTGCGTGGACAGCGAGAAAAGATATACACTGGATTTCGCCTGTTCTTGCCGGTGTCCCGTTCGGGAGTGGCCTTGTGCTCATCTTCGTAAGTCCCTTCCCCCAGATCTTGGCTCGCAGTGGTCGGAGAGTGGCTAATGGGGATGCAGCTCACGGCCATCATGTATATTTTGGAAGTTTACCCGCCATTAGTCGCGGCTTCTGCCATTGCAGCGTTAGGTCTATTGCGTTATCTCTTGGCAATGGCGTTCCCCCTCTTTACCGTTCGAAGTATGTGGCGCTCATCTACCCTGCCCAATTCCTTTGCTAACCACTCGACAGTGTATGATAGTCTCGGTATTGCCTGGGGCACATCGCTCTTTGGCTTCATTGCACTGGCGATGGCACCTATCCCGTGGGCTTTTCAGCGTTGGGGCCCTCAGATTAGGGCCATGTCGAGATATAACGCCATCGTGGAGTAATGTTTACGAATGACACTTTTGGGGTGGTGGATACTGTCTATAGTTTTTGGGGGATTTTGATGCTTTTGCATAACGGGCCTTAGAACTTCTCTTTCGCGTTATATACTTTTTTCCATTATTATTTTTTATTATGGGTTTCATTCGATACTGGGCTATTTTGGTCATTGGGAGTTTTTGGTATTATGTATTTTCCTGGGATCAAAAATGGCATTACGTACCAGGAGGGGGGGGGGGGTAGCGCCCGGCTGTAAATTCGGCCATCGGGTTGACATGCTAAAAGAGGCTTGATGTGAAGTAGCTGAATCCCTCGATAGTTGTGATAGCACTACAAGTAAAGTTTAAGTATAGAATTCTCGGTCGATATCATTTGCTATCCGGTTCTTATTAGCCGGCCTTGAATTATTCGGTTACCGAAAATAAACTGTTAAAACTTATCCTTAGAGACGTCAGTGCAGTCATTGAGGTCTTGTCTTTGGGTCCATAACATTTTGCCATCATCCGAATCATCATCGGTGGTGTGGTAATGACGGAGGGTTTCCGTATGCCTTAACTCCCATCACTAGTACGAGAGGTGTTCCAAAAACCGATTGTACTTGGTTACGGCCGACTAGCTGTGGTGTGGCTATCTCACCATGAGCGGTAAGTTTGTCTCCACGGCGGTTTGTATATTGGGGTAAAGTCTAACATAAAAGTGGAATGTTTGAGGATAGTGCAGAAAAACAAACAATCTGGGCTGAACGAGCACATTCCTGTCTCGCATGGACTCTGCTTGAATGAATACCAGAAGGATGAACTACGGATTGCTCCCGGGGGGGGGGGGGAACTGTAGAGACCTTGGATAGCTGGCGAGAATTCCAGAGTCCGATTTCTCAAACGCGATATCATGGGAGCGTGAATTGGGATGGTTTCATTGGGGAGATGGTTCCAAGATGGCTTTTCAGAGGATGAACCTTGCAGTGAAAAAGGATGAGTGGGATTGTAGGACTTTAGGTGGTTACCGACGATAGCTTCCTTCCTTCCCTCCTTCCTTTTCCCCGGCAATGCTAAAATTCAGACATTCTACCTTCAAGAAATCTATGGGCTGAGGAAGAAGAGAACTCCTTGGCTGTGCTAAGAAACTATAGACCGTCCATGACGGGTTCCACGAACTACCAGCACACCGGTTTTGTAAAGATCGGCCACTATCGCGATCGGCATGGGGAAGACTGAACGATCCAGCGCATCCAACATCAATAATCTCTCCACCTTCTTTGTCGGTGGAGCCGTAGAAACTTTGAAGAACTGACGGGTAAGCCCAGTTGCAGTTATATCTCCTGAGATGCTTGTTTCTCCAGTGATCCTTCCGTAATCCGAGCAGGGTATTTCGAGGATCAAGGGTTAGTTAACCGTGGCCTCCAAGTTTCGCCTTCAATTTTTGCCGATATAACTTGTTGCATATGCGCTGGGGGTGAGAAATACAGGATTCTGCAAGGTTCTGCGAACGCTTTTGAGTACCGGTATGCTTATTTTGAGGAGCTTCTCAAAAGGTTTTACCGGCAGGTATTTTATATTCGCAGGAGATGCGCGTGTTCTGTAGCCGCCTGATGGGGGTCCTCTAGTTCTGCGGGGCGACCATTTGATTGTGTCATAAAGTACCTCCGCAAAAGTGTTGGTGAAATGACCTTTTTATACCAAAAATTGGCAGGTTTGATCAACCCCCACACCTGGAATTGCTCCAAATAATCCTCATAACCTATATAATTATTTTCACCTTCACTGCAACTTTTATCCGACACCATTTATTTTGTCAATTTATTCTATGGGGCTAAGCTACTAGTCTCCAAAGTTGACAATACCCGTTGCTATGCCATTTTTATATGTAAAATGAAGCTTTTCAGTGAAGTCAAAACTTTAGGACAGCATAACCTGTCCAATTCTTCCCCAAAGTTATTAAGAGTTGGGTAGGAGTGGGGTGGGATTATTGTAACTACATACCAGAAGTCAGGTTGTAAAATATTTTGTGGTTCCTGAACTACCAGTGGCGAAAAATCCATGTTTTTGGTGTAAAAAGCCCATTTCACAAACACTTTTGTGGAGGTACTTTACTAATGGCTCAGTGTCTTAGTAGTACAAACTTCTTTTGATCCTGAAAACTAACTACCCCACTCTCATCCTAGTTGGAGTGATCAGCTCTGTTAAAGGACTTATTAATGTATCTTTATACATAGAGCTTCAAGTTAGATTACATAATAAAGATAACTCTTCTGGCCAATGAGTGGTCCATTTATTATCCTATCCAATCATAAACAAGTCTTTAGATAACTCTTGTTCACATGAGCTTAAAAGGGCCTGTGCACTACTTCTTATATTTCTGTGAGTAGTAATACATAAACTTTGTTGAGATTGTAGCTCTATAACTAACTAATTCAAACTAACCAAGTCTTATCTTATAGAGTAGAGCTCCTTCTATCTTACCTAGTGAAAACCCCTTGGTCACATACTTTGCATCTCTGTAGACAGGACTGTGTAAATGCCTCATTGTTCTATATGATAATATTTTATTATTATGATAACTATGGTAGGGTCTAGAGTCAAACACATAACCTTATACATTTAGTCACATGTTTTACTGATTATGCTTCTATGTGTAACAGTAGGCTATTAATTCTAGAACCTAAGATATTTATTAAAAAAAGATGTACTATTTAAGACTAGAAAAAGAAACTATTAAAGATAATACTTACTGGTATTAAGTAACAAGCAAGGTTGCGCCAGTGGAGACAGATATAAAATAATAATAAAATATTATACTCTAATATCATTGTATTGTTATATTGTATTAAGCTATAAGGTTTCTATGCTAATATTCAAGAACTATTAAGCTGTAAAAGACTATTGTATTGTCAGATAAGTACTCTCTTAGGAGTAGCTAGGATTGCAAGCCAACAAGTAGCTAGGAGTTGTGGCTGTACCACAACCTTGGCATAAGTATAGAACCTTATAACTCATATGTATATCGTAGTATGAAAGAAAACATACCTATAACTCAGAACTTTGATCTTTGTTACAGAAAACTAAAGACTCTAAAAATAATATAAGCTTCTAAACATATTTCATTAGAATTCAGTCTAGTCAATTTCGAAGGCTATCCTACAGAACATTAGTTAAAAGAGAGAAGTAAAGTTGGGAAAAGAAAATACTGGGGGGAGGAGGGAGAAATCGGGGAAAGTCGGGTCAGGTGGGGGCTGGATTGTTGGAACCAAAGTGTCAATAGAGTAAAGATGGACAACTTAAAGCACCCTTAACAGAAGATCTAGAAGAAAGAGCCTTACAGCGCCACCGGTGGGTAGTAGCAGCATGTCTTGGGCGTGGCATTATGCATGCTAAAAGTGCCATGATACAACAAATTGACTCGACCGCTTATGTCCGCACCCAAGTTTATGCGGTTCCAGAAACGGAGGAGCGGGTACCGGTAGAAGAAATAGTTCCGAGGGCGAAAGGGAAAGTGAGCTATGCCTATTTAGCTTTCTTGGGTGAGTTTCCCTCCTGCCACTCTGATGCTCTCGGGGTTTAACTTAGCCATGTAGGCTGGGGGGCATATGAAAGGTCTCAGTTCTTTAAAGGTGAGAATATAATATAGCTATAACGCTGCCGGGTACTGCCCAAGATGGCTTTGTCTTCCCTCTCTTCGGCCTGTAGCGCTACCCTTCCGGGGGGGAGGTTTAGTGTGAAAGTCGTAATAACTAGTTGCCGGTAGGCTGCATTAGGAGTTGGACGGCACTTCAAGCCAGGGAAATGATGTGCCTTGTCCCAATCTAGCGCAGGGGCGAGTAGCCGCGGGCTGGCCTTCTCTCATAGGCCTTGGCCCGTACTGTTAGCTACGGAAATCTGTGTCATACCTGAGGTGGCCGGATGTCTGTTTCTCACTACTGCGGCTTTGACATCCGAATTACCGTAATGCAAAGTGGTCGAGGTGATGGAAAGCGGGGGACAAGGTGTTCTAGACACCTTCCAACTGTTTTAAGGTGATATCCCGTTTGCCTTATCAGCAGACAGAGGTCGAGAATTGTCTTGTGTGTCCCCAACGCAGAGCGCTCGATGTGTTGAGACTGATGGTTTTTTTCTTGTCCCCTTCAACTCGGCTGTCCTTGCATTGACTTAACGTACCTATGGAAGTCACGATGGCGGGTATTGGTAGGCCACGCAACTCGAGAAATGTCTAACTTGGTATCTTATTCCTGAAACCACAAGTTATATAGGATGACTCTAATTACATTCGAGTCCAACAGAACCAGTTATTACATCACGAGTTACAACCAACACATACGATCTATCCGTCTAGTATTATATTAATCCCCGCTACATAACCCCGTCACACCATGTCATACGCCCCAACAAACCGGATCTCCATATGAAAGAAGAGGAAAAAACACCCGCACTGACCCTTCCACTAATTCCCCGTCACCACACCGCTCCTCTCCCCCCCCTAGACACCCCGCTAGTTTATCCCTTTATGCTATAAGCACCCTACAAGTTGGTAGTATGTACTGGTGGCTATCCTGATCGGTATAAGGTTGTGTTGTAGGGCTGGAGCGGACCAAGAGAGGAGGCTTCGCGTGTGTGTATATAGCCTCTATCTCTGGCATTGCTGGAGACGATCAACTCCTTCCTCCATGAGCCACATCCACATCCAACACTACATCTCACAAGCGTACAAAGAGATGGCATTCCCCGGGAGTGAATTTGAAAGGAGTCTCTCCCCCGATCGTAATGTAACACGTCTACAGGCGGGAGTTCTCCCATCTCTACCACCGGGCTGTGGTGCTGCAGCGTAGGCTCATGCATGTGATATTGGACTGGACGAGCACTGGTGGTGCGCGGAGGGGGGTTGTAGGTTTTATGTTTTTGGTGTGGAGTAACTTTTTTTGATTTTTGGAAGAGGGGTGGTAAGGTGCAGTCGACTGTAGGGGGAAGAGGAAGGGGGAAATGATAGTAGTGGCATCATTGGTTTACGGTAGATGGATGCAAAAGTAGCCTACGGTGGTAAGCTTGGTTCGGTCTGATAAGGGGAGTTGTGTTATAAGAACTTTATGATACTGGACAAGAAAGCCAAAGAACGCCGCGTAGGTCAGGGTTGGCTCGGGGGCGTCGGATGTGGTGCGGGACTGACAGGCACAGCAGTTTACTTTGAGCGTGGGAAAGTTAGGAATCTACCGGTGATCTCTTCGAAAGTTGTATTATATTAAACCGAGCTGGAATCCCGCCGACCCCGATCTTCCCTCTCACAGCGACACTCCGGAAATGCGCCTAAAAGTCACCACCTCTAAGGCCATAACACCCTTCAATATCTACCCGTTAAACTCCACCACCC